CCATATGGCCCTTTGTTGGACTGGGAACATGTTCAGGGTGTACTCAGTGTTTTAGCTAAAGAAAGCTTAGATAATACGCAGACCTCCCATGATCCAAATAAGTGTTTACTAATGGATGGATGGAAGCTGAGTCACTGAGGGCACCAGTGTCATAACGCTGAAACAAAAGATGGCTGTTAAATCAACGCATCTGGTGAGATGTACTTTTACATTCACAATGTGACTATTAATGAACAAACAATAGAGCTGTTTGTTAATTAATGTAACTGAAATCGATGAGTAATGTAAAACCCCACACCCCCACCACGACACACCTTCTTCATCCAACAAGTCAATAACTTTCTTTTCTTCTTAAAAATCTCACTATAAAGAGTTTTGCTCTTTCACTCTTCACTTGTTTGTTCTTGTTATGAGTGCTTAGTGTTAAATGCACAGGGGGTCAAGAAGAGCTGGGAAACAATATTTTTCCGCCATCAGCATTCATGTCTGGATCTTATTACAGAGCTAAAATACTGCATCAGAGAACAATTTAATACTGATATGAGTCAGACATCGACCACCAGACAAAAATATTGCTGTCTGCTCTTCACTTATCCTCAATTTTCCCGACAGCACAAAACCTCGTGGCTTGATTGTAAGAACAACGTAGTTTTTGGATTCAGTGTTGAACAAGATTCAAACACTAAATAGTTAATAACAAAAGTACGAGCACTGAATGCAACAGTAGGCTTCATGTTAAAGTGATTTTCAGTTAGTGAAGAGCTCAAAATGCTTCATTTAGTTATTGGAAAATTACTGAAAAAGCCATCAGCAAAACCCAACTGTCACACTAAGAAAAACATCCTCCAGCAGTGCTGCGTACACTCATGTATTTGGCAGAGTAAACAGCTGCGACAGCATAACGGCACAGAACAAAGTTGCTTAAGAAGCAGAGTGAATGGGCCACCTTTAATGTGTTTAACAGGTCATTTCATCAGCGCTCGTTTACCCACGCACGAAACATCAACACACGCACATGCGAGCTCTCACATAATCACAAGCTTCCACCGTTTCCGATCGCGTTCGTGTGCTCTTTTCTTGCTGAGTCAGACAAACAAACACTGGAGTTTCCTGTGTTTTCTCTCTGACACACTGAGCGCCTTATTTCTTCTTATTTGCTCTTCTTTTACTTTGAAGACCGTCCAGTGAATAAAGTGTAAAGCCTGAGTGGCGGGAGGAGCTCTGTCATCTTTCTCCAAAACCATCAAATAAACAAGAAAATGGTAACTTTGTAATAGCTGAAGTGTGACGTTTGGCTTTCAAACAGCTTGTTTCAGGAACAGAGTGACAGCACTAAGAACATGTTTATACGTTTTTCTACCAAAACTAAAATAAAAAACACTTTGGATGCTTTAGATAAACATAAATATATAATTGTATATTAACAGTGAATCAAATGATTATGTAGTCTAAAAGGTGGCACCCTAAGGTGACAAACCCTATAAAATTATAACCTGACTCCTCTAAAAAGCTTTACACTATAACAATCCAAAAGTGTTTACTATTTACAAGCCACATACTTCCTTTTAGGGAGTGGAGGTGGAGACCTGGAGTAGAGTTACAAGAGTGTGAAAGTTGCACTTACAAAGTGAGGTGTAAGTTCAGTCCCTCTGGATCATTCGGGATTTGAACTTCAGCGTCTGTTTGCCTAAACTTCTTTTTATAGGTACAATTTTACAGAGCTACAAGTGCAGAGTTGAAACTAGAAGAAAGAAATTGTTTGACTCAAGAAAAGCCAAAGAACAGAAAAAAAAACAAGAGAAGAAGGCCATGAGTCCTGCTGGTAGGATTACACTCTAGCATCCTGGAAAGTACAAAAGTTCAATAGAAATATACGTAAGCCCAGTTTCAAATTACTGTTACACAGAAATGCAACAGGAAGTGTGCTGAAAATGCCACTCTGCCGGCCTAACAGATGTGCCATGTCATTGTGGCTGATTGGTTTGTTGTGTAGCATATACATAACTTGTGAGGTTCTTGCAGCACTAAATTGTTGAATCTATCCAAACCTGACATGAACAAAAGCATGTAAATGTCAAAATATGCTATAAAAATCAGCTAAATGGGGGAAGAAACAGATTCTTAAATATAAGTGGCATTGATTTAATTAACAATTTTCCATTTTTGCTTCTA